TCCTCAGGGCTCCTGCTGCCCAGGTGCTGAGGCTGCTGCTTTAACCAGCACCTCTCACTTCATCATCCAGCCCCAAACCCACTTCTGTTCGCTCTATTTCCCCCTTGATGCAAGGCGCTTATTTTAAAGCTGGATCCTCCTCGCTTCTCCCTGCGGGATAAAGCCGAGTTGCCCCTCCGGAGGCAGCAGCCTGGGAAGGAGGGTCCCCTGCCCGCCCTGGGGCTGGCACCAGCCTCCGACCACGAGCGTGGAGGCTTCTCCTCTCTGAAAAGAGCCACTACCCGACGCGGGTCTGCTCTTCCCTTGGAGCACGATGGCAGTTTCAGGCGTCCCGACCGCATCGTGGCGGTGTCAACTACACAGCAGCCACCACCCCGCCGCTCTGAGGGCCCCAAACGGGCGCAGAGCTCGTCCCTGGGACCTCAGGGGACAGTGGTGCAGCTCGGGGACACCTCCCAGCCCCGCTGCCAGGGCAGGGTGGCAAGCAGCCCCCTTTCCAGCCCTCTCCAGCTGTTTTGAGGAGCAGCTGGAGCGCCTACAAAGAGCGCCGGCTCGCGCCGCCGCTAGTTACCATCATGACTCGACTCGCCCTTTGGGTTTAAACAGCCAAACAAACTTGAAAGCGGCCCAGCCACCTGCAAAAACACTCGGGGAAGCTGGCAGGGACACGGAAAGTCCTCGGGGCAGCGAGGCCGACACGGGGTTACAGGCGGCAGGAAAAGGCAGGGCTGCTCCCTAGCCCTCGCTGCGGCTGCTCCCGTTTCCTTAAGGAGCCCCAAAGGCCCAAGACAAGCGGATTCAGCCCCTGGGCTTTGATGGATTTCTGGCTGTATGGACAGATGGGACGGGTGCCAGGCTCTGGGTTGGCAAACGCTCAACACTGGTCATTTTGGTGGTACTCACATGAACTGTAAAACTCGATTCCACTAGGAAAATAAAACACTTCCACGAAGGGAAGTCGCTTGGCAGCCCACAAGAAGCTGGCAAAAAAATAAAGACCAACCTTCGTCATCGCTGTCACCTCCCAGGGTGAGGTGGGGCACGGAGAGGGTCATCATCTCCCAGAGCGTGAGGCCGAAGGCGAAGATGTCGGCCTTGTCGGTGATGACGCCGCCCTCGTGCAGCGCCTCCTTGGGCTTCCAGGGCTCGGTGCCGATGTAGCACGCGGCCGGGTCGCTCACTGCAAGGGAACGAGGGCCGTGGGCAGCGCTGGGGCTCGCGAACGCGGCGCACGGCGGCACGGCCCTCCGCAGGGGCCGTTCCGAGCGTTCCCGCTCGCATCGGAGCCGCTCGGAGGCCAAACTCGCATCCGAGAACCGGAGTCGCTGTGCTCTGTGGTTGAATCCCTACTGCGAGGAAGCCTCCAAGTCTTCGATGAGGGCCTGGGTTTGACACGGGTGTTTCCCCTTCCCAGCTTTGCTCCTCGGGGGATGCGAGAGCAGGGAGAGAAGCGACTCGCCGTCGGACCTCCCTTTCCCTGGGCCTCCCAGGGCCGGCCTGGCCCCATCGCTGCCCGCACCGCAGTACTCCTGCTGGCCACACCGTCCCTTTGCTTTCTTCAGCACAAGTCAAGTTCTTGCCAGTTTAATTTAACATCTCGGCAGGTTATTTAGCCTCAGGACAAAGCCAAAGACAACCAAGCGCTTCACCAGCCCCGTCTGTGAGGAGAAGCAAACGCCGACATTCCCAAACGCTCCGCAGGGACCCGCATCCCTTGCGAGGTGGGTGGATGTCGTCTCCTGAAGAACCCGAGGAGGCAAAGCCAAAATCGGGTTGAGGCAAAAGGACGTCTTCCCGCCCCAAAACTGATGCTTTAACCACACTCCTCTCTGGGAGATTACGCCGGGGCGTTGCCTCTAGCTCTCCTGCTCCTCGTAAAAGGCAGCAGCAACTAATAAAACCATAAGAGAGCAGCTTTATAAATTACGAGGCTGCTGCAGGCCCGGGCGCTGCGGAAGGCGGCGTAGGAGCGAGTTCTTGTAATTAACCCAAACACATTCCTGCCCTTCACGGCCAAGCCGCGACGCCACCGGGCATCTGCTTCTCATTGACGTGAAGCCTTCATAATGTTTGCGTTTGGCTCACGCCTCCTCCCAGCCCCGTGAGAAAGACGCGTTTACTTAACTCTCTGGCAAGAGCATCTCCTCATGGGCGGCCGGCGGGGCCTGATCCCGTTATTCCTCGTGCCGGGATTCCTCCTGCTGGCAGGAGGCTGAGCTAGGGGCAGCTCTTCGCACTGGGAAGGGTCCTACCTCCTTGCTAGAGGAAAAGCGGGATGGACGGACGTGGCCGCTTGCCCACGGCTCGGCAGGGAGCTCCGTGACCGTCTTCACCCACACGCAGAGCAAACATGACAAGACCACAAGGCCTGTCCTCCGCGGCAGCAGGGATGGAGGGCTCAGATGTTCCCCACAAAGCCACGTGCCAAAAGCCAAACACTCGTGTCCCCTCCTGACGCCTCAACCTACCCGTCATGTTTTCATCCAGGGGCAGGGACACGCCGACATCACAGATCTTTATGGTTTCAAAGTCACCTTTAACCACCACGTTGGACGACTTGATATCTCCATGGAGCAGCTTCTTATCGTTGTGGAGATACTAAGAGGCAGAGAGAGAGGCAGTTAGCACCTGCGCACGGACTGAGCTACGAAGAGACAGGAGGAAACATCAGACGTAGACAGCAGAGCAGCGACACCTTAATATTAAAGGCAATTAGCCTTAAAAACACAATGTTCAACTGCACCACGTATATAACAGCCACGGAAACGCTCAAGACAAACAGGCTGAGCTGGGGAGCACGGGAGGGTTAGAGCAGCCCCGAGCACTTTACATTATTAATAGCAAAGCCTGAACTTGCACGGGGCTCGTTGCTCCGTTCAGCCCAGTTTGGGGCTTAGAGCTGCCTTTTAGGAAAGAACCTCACCCCATCTCAAGCACAGCAACAGATATTGGAGAAGGCAAGAGCAGAGGACACCCGCTGGTGGCCAAGCACACGCCAGATTTTAATCTCAGGAGCTCGGAGTCGTCTCTCCTTGGTGGCAACAAACCCTCTGTCCTGGCTCAGGAAACCTGCGTGTGGCTTTGACCACCAGCAGAACCTGGAGGAGCTGGGGCGAGGAAGCTGATCCTCCCATCAGGCTGCTCCGTGTCCCTGCTTTGGGAGCTGGAAGAAGCATCCCAGCCTCTTCCCGCTTGTCCGAGGAGGGAAGCAGAAGGTTAACACATGTCCCTGCCTTCTTCATTCCCTCCTGTGACCACCCAGGACCTGCAGACTTTCCCCAGGGGCAGCCCACGTGCTGCTGGGCTAGTGAGCAGGGCCAGCAGGTAGCCCTAGGGAAGGGCAGCATCATCTCTGCCTCGTGGATTCTCACTATATAATTAAACACTCCATATTACTTCGGTAAGTAGCACTTTGGGGCTCAGACTGGCTGGTTTTCACCTCAATTTCTGCTCACGTGTGCTGCACCCAGCCTTCTCACGCACCAAAAATGTTTATTTTTCCATTCTCACCAGTGTATGCGGTCTCAAACGAACAGCAGAGGTTAATATTAAACATACCTGCAGCCCCCTCGCCATGCTCAGGGCGACCTTGAAGATGGTAGCAGCAGGGAAAGGGCCCAAGTGCTCCGAATTCCGCTCCTCAATTAAGTCGTTGAGAGATTTTTCTCCTCCGTACTCCATGGCAAGACACATGCTGCCATCATGGGCCTTGGTAAACGCACGGTAACCTGCGGACCAAGATGTTTGTTAGAGCTGGAAGAGGCAATTCCCCATCTCACACCCCTGATCTCACAAAGGAGCCGCACTGAGGAGCAAGGACATGAGCCACAAACCTGGAGGCAAGACCCTCCGCAACAAGGAGCAGGAGCTGCCGCAGACACCCCTGTTTTTGCCTTCATTTCATCACTCTCCCTCTGTGCTTTATTCCCACCCTTAAACATGGCTTGTCAGGCGGAAGCATAAATGGAAAAATCTTGAGAACAGCCCAGCAAAAGCCTCGTTCTCCAAGTGATTTACGGCACATTTTACAAAGGGCAATGAAAACGTTTGCTACGTGACAGGTCTTTTTGCTCTTGAACTCCCAACTCTCCAATTTAAAGGCATGAAAGGGAGCCAAGTTTCCTGGTCACACGTAGCAAATTCCAGTAGAAGGGACAGCACCTACGTATCTTAAAGTACAAGTAAGGAGAAAGCCAGAGTTGCTCTTCTAGCTGTCAGGAGAGATTTTAGGGAAGATTAGAGCTGAAAATAAGCCACAAAACAGTTTCTCAAGGTGTTTCTAACACCGACAGCCAAGAGATGGGCACTTAGAGCCCATCGCAGCCCGTAACAAAGGTAAGTCCATGAGTTAGTAGCCAGGTTAGTTTAATAAGCTGTGCTGGGTGCAATAAAGGCACAGGCTGCAATTCCGCAGGTATTTATGGCTCCAGAGCACCTACCCACAATGTTTGGGTGCTGGAGGTTTTTCAGGATCCTGGCCTCGTCGTTCAGCCTCTTCTGATAGATGCTTTGCTGGCTCTTATTGCACTGGGGGTTGATTTTCTTCACGGCCCACGGGGACGACGAGGAGCCTTTGGGAGATCTGCAGGGTGAGAGGGGACACCCCTGGGAATGCTGA